TGTACTTTAATAGTATTGAACTTTTATTCATGTATATATGTATATTCCCCCAACTCCCAATTTTTTGTTTCAGTTTTGGGCCACACCCATTTGCATGCAGGCCACCTTACCCCCTGTACTCTTTTCAGCCAATATATTCCAAATTTAAATCGACTATTTTATTCTGATTAAATATAATATTTTGTGAGCTACCGAGAGTATCTCTCCCACATGGCAAAGCCTGGCAAGCTACCCGTGACATATTCGATATGCCAAACACAGTAACAACAAGTCTCACAATGGAGACGTTACTGGGCCCGCTTGAGCAAAATTGATGAACAATGGGAGGACAGTGATCTTCATGTAGTTAGCACTTCTATATATACTACTATACTTATTCTGCCATGCTTACTTCTCATCTACTCACAGTGTAAGGTTTAGCTTTTTAATCCATTAAAATTTCTTTTTGTAGTTGAATCTAGAATCTAGATAAATATTAAGATATTTTCTCAGATTTTGGGTTTTGGGATAAAATTCATTAATATTATCTTTAATAAACACAATATAAGGCTTAATAACTCTTGAGATGCAGTTCTGTGGCAAAGCAGGTAATTATAGTTTTCATTAGGTTGTTGATATTCCAGAAAACTAAGAACTTTCAGTATTGTATTTTCATCTCATATGTTTCTTGAACTTTTTGCTTGAAATATTAAATTTTGATGTTACATTCCTCTCTTCTTTCAAACTCCTTTAATTCCAGGAAGGTAATGAATTTCGTACATTTCTTACCTAAAATATCCTCTTAGTAGAGGCATCCTTATGACATTGTATTATGAAGCAATTTTTCCCAGCACAGGAGAAAAATAACAGTAGGAGGCTTAGAATGTTCTTCCCACATTCCCTATTTTTTTTTTAATTTTATTGAATCACCGTGAGATAGTTCCTAGCTTTCATGTTTGGGTTACAATCACACATTCTCTATTATGCAAGCAAAGTCTCCAGTGATGTAGTCATTTCTTTTATATGTGATAGAGAACCAATACAGATACAGAGTAAAACTGGTTTATAAGATACAGACAGTATAAAGAAAATGTTATGATTCCACAAATCACTATTTTTCAAGAGTTACCTTTTCCTTGACCACTTTGTATCTCTTTCAGACCCTGATTTCAGATGTACACTTTTTTTTCTTTATTTTTGCTCAGGGCTTATTTCTGGCTCTGGGGACTATATGGGATGCTGGGAATCAAACCCAGGTAAGTCCCATGGAAGGCAAGCACCCTACCTGCTGTACTTTTTCTGTGGCCCCCAAAGGATTTCAGATATACTTTTACAGTAACCCAAATTAATTGATTATTCCACAACCTAAGAATTATTTGTACTAGTGACTTAAATCACATTCACTTATAAGGGAAGTCATTGAAGTTCATGATTAAGTTAAAATCTTTACAGCCTTATTAGAAGTGGAATTTGGTGATGAAAATTAGATGAAAAAAGTAAAGAGTCTCTCAGAGGAGAGATTCAGCTGTTGCTTCATGTACTGGAAGGCTGGCAGGCTTTTCTGTGTCATCGTGATGACTCATACTTGTGTGTATGAAATTGATGGGTATAGGATTTGGTAAAACAAAGTTTTCAGTGTGATTGGGCAAGAAAATATATATTGTTACATATTTTATAATTTAAAGTAAAATAGACAATTCAGTGAAGAAAGTAACTGATACTCATATGAAAACATTAGTCCTTTTTACTGATGCAGGCAACAGGTTTCATTGGCTTATGTTTTTTCTAACATGATCTTGTTTTCTTCAAAGTCCATGTACTTCCTTCCTTTCTAAAACAAGATTTAGTTTTCTTCATGTCCCAGCTTAGTATCCTATTCTCTTTTTGAATAAACAATTTGGGAGCTTATTGAGATAATGACAGATGTTTCTCCAGATGAGAAAATAAAACCTCTAAAGTATTTACTAAAATGATAAACTCAATCTACTCTACAACTGTACTTTTTACAAAGGAATAATATATTTACGAAGGAATAATAATTTTGATGTTCTTTCTAAAATCCTCAGGATTATAAATTTATAACTTTTGAAACACTAATAAAAAGCTTCATTTTCATTTGAACCCATTGTTGCTGTTGTTTTTGTAGTAAGGTCTAGAAAAGAGGCATTTGTTTTCTTTCCTGCATTATCTCTAGTGTCTGAAAAAGTATTTAACACACACATTCAATAAATATTTATTGAGTATTATTTCACAGTTACTGAGGTTCTACTAGTACATTTAAAAGAACATTTCTTATCTCAAACTAGTTTCCTGCAACTGAATGACTGAAGAACACATTAATAGAAGTTGAAGCATTTCCTTATTCCTTGCCAACCTGTACTTACTGTAAATTTTGTTTCGGTATTTTGTTTTGGAGCCACACCCAGTAGTCGTGAGACCATCATGCAGTGCTGGAACAAAGGCAGCTCTCCCATGTGCAAGCATGCACTCCCCCCTTTGAGCTGTCTCCCAGCCTTCTTTCCGTATTTTTAACCTGTTAGAAGATTTTTTTTTCTTTTTGGGTCACACCCGGCAATGCACAGGGGTTACTCCTGGCTCTGCGCTCAGGAATTACCCCTGGCGGTGCTCAGGGGACCATATGGGATGCTGGGAATCGAACCCGGGTTGGCTGCGTGCAAGGCAAATGCCCTACCCGCTATGCTATTGTTCCAGCCCCTAACCTGTTAGCAGTTTTGAGCACCTAATCATTCAAAATGTACATGTGCAACTATGCCAGTTATACCCGACTAGCTAGACCACATCATCTTCAAAACTAAGATGACACGTGAAGTGTCTCTATTTTCAACACAAGCTGTTCTGCAGAAGAATAAGTGCCACCAAAAACTAACAAATTATTTGTAGAGATTTTTTAAAATTTGTATTTGTAGATTAATATTAGCATTACTAGCCCTGAAGTATTTTATGGTTTTATACGTAACCTCTTTATACGTATTGTTAGGAAATTTTTTTAATTTTCTCTGTCAGTATATAAATCTATACACTAAGATTACATTGATTAATTTTTGGGACTCTTTTACTAAGAGGACTCTTTTACACAGAGAGATTGTAAAGAATTCATCAGTATGAGATAAAAGGTAAACTCGGCTGTAACAGCTCCTTAAACTGCCATCCATCATCTCACCTTCCCCACCCCCTCTGATCCCCCGATACACACAGTCTTTCAGATATTGCTTTTTTTGTGGGGGGGGGGGGGGTCACACCTGGCGATGCTCAGGGGTTACTCCTGGTTTTGCACTCAGGAAACACTCCTGGCGGTGCTTGGGGGATCATATGGGATGCTGGGAATCGAACTCGCGTCGGCCGCGTGCAAGGCAAACACCCTACCAGCTGTGCCCCCTATTTCTGTTGCTTTTTAAATTTTCTTTGCGTGTGTGTTTGGGCATGGGGGTTTGAGTCATACCCTGTCATGCTCAGGAGCTATTTCTGGCTTCCTACTCCGAGCCATATGTGATGCTGGGATGAAACCAGGGTACACTGCATCCAAGTAAAGCACCTTATCTCCTGGACTGTCTTTGCAGCCCTGCTTCACCTCTGTAAAAAGACTAATGGATCCAATGGATCTGTTGAAATGTCTTCCATATCTGAAACTTGTACCCACTTCCTTGTCCACAGTGACCTCTTTGCTAAACATTCCATGAATACATTAAAAAGATGTATAATTTTTCTTAACATCAATACTTTTCAGCTTATAAATGCAATCTCATTCTTTTTAAAGGTTTATTTTATTGCATGAATGTTATTCCCTACTGATAATCTTTAAATTTATTCCTAATCTCTTATTATAATGTGGATGTATTTTTTTCACTTGAATGCGAGCTCTTTCTCAATAAAGATTTTGGTCTTACTTAATCCTGAAAGCAGCATATAAACTGCCTAACAGACGTTTTAACATGTATTTTGAGTGAAAATCAGTGAAAGTCACCTTGCCTTGGAAGGGGCTGACTTGGGTTCAACCCCCAGCACCATATATGGTCCTCTGAACACCACCAGGACCTCTGAGCACAAAGCCAAGAGTAAGCCCTGAACACCGGGGCTTAGGTGTGCCCCCCCCCCAAAAAAAAAAAACAACCGTTCCACTTAATTTTTATTGTATGCCAAACACAGCAACAAGTGTCACAATGGAGATGTTACTGGGCCCACTCGAGCAAATCCATGAACAACGGGAGGACATTGACAGTGTAACATTGGGGATGGCTTCCAAACAGAGCTCAGGGGTTATACAGAGGCATTTCCAGTGATACTTGACCCAGCTGTACAGACTTGACAGTACAGTGCTCAATCCAGTGGTAGAGTGCCGCTCTGACACTGCTGGTCAGTGACCACCAAAACCACCTCTCACTGCCCACCAGGGCTGTACCAGCAATGCTCAGGAGACACCAGGTCTCAAACCTGGGGCCTAGTGCAGCCCTTTAACTTATCTTCCCAAATCTAATTAATGGTATGTGCAAAGTACTTGGTGCTCTCTGGCTGAATGTTCCTCTTTTAAGTGTTCATACTATAATGTTGAGAAAAATTATGCTAGCACGTAAGTCTGTGCAGAGGAAAGGACTGACTGACGCAGTGAGAAATGAAAAAGCCAAGGGAGGTTCAGTTGGAAGTGGACCATCCTTCATCACCACCGTTAGCACTGAGTGCCTACCACCTGCCAGGATAGTGGATATATATATATATATATATATGGAGATAGTGTATATATACACTATCTCCTTTAATCTTCACATACCCTATAAAAAAGGTATTTTCCTCATTTGATAAATGAACGAGTTGAAGTACTAAGCAATTTAATGACTTGCCCAAGTAACTTAGCTAATGATTACATTAGAAGAAAAAATCAAATTATCTGATTCCATAGACTATTCTCGAGAACTGTGTAAGTGGTCAGGAGAAAGAGAAAGAGGTGCTGCAGGTCGAATAAAAGGTGTCAGAGCATCAAGCTCATGTGGTATTTAGAGCAGGCAGGCAGGAAGGCAAATCTTAACTCAGCATTGTTAAGGTTTGAATACTGTAGGAAACAAAGCCATGTACTCGGGCTGAATCTGACTGACATACATGTCCTAAGTATGCAATTTCCAAGCAAGAAAATAGCAGTTTCCCTTTATTCCAAAAGAGAAAGGACTTCATTTGTTCTTGTTAGATTGCCCTGGCGTGATGGCAGTCTCGGGTTTCACCATTTTGTTCATGGTGAGAGCTTCAGGCTTTTGTATCCTTGCAAAGCTATAGCATTCAGTTTTGTCCTCAGAGCATACTGTTCGAGTGCTGACCAGATGAAAACCTTCCATTAGCAAAGTGTCAATCAGTAAGCCGAGGACATTAGTTCCATTGGCCAATTTTCGGTTATCAGGTTTTATAGAAACATACCTAAAGGACACAGACACACACACAAAAATACATAATTATCACACAAAATACCTAAAGGACACACACACACAAATACATAATTATCCTTTTAATAACAAAACTAAAACACATGTGATTAATATCTCCAAATAAAGGTGTCATGCCATTTTCAATCACTTTCTTTTACTTTATTTATAAATTTAAATCAGTAACTTGAGCGTACCGAAAATAAGACACCTTGCTGTGATCTCCAGATTACTTTTAACCCCATATTTAGAAATATAACCAACACTGATAAGTTTTTAGAGAAATTTTTTGATGCAAACATGTAATTAGCCTAGCATTTTTGATTTGTGAGGGTTTTCCCAAGCAGTGCTTAAAGGAGCCGAGGACCGACTCTGAGCAATCAATCCTCAGCCTGATGCTAAGGGGCAGGACCATGCAGTGCCTGGAATCTAGCCTGGGGTCTCTGCATACCAGTCCTATGCTCCAGCTTTTTGGATTTATCTCCCTGGCTCTTAACATTTTTATATAAAATAATTTGACTATTCCTAATTTTTTTCAATTTATTAAATAGTCCCTACACACAGACACACACGCACACGCACACGCACACGGGATCTAACTGTACCCATCAACACCAATTACCCAATTATGAATTTTCTTTTTAAGTTATTCCTGTCAACTGTTTTTTTTTTTTGAGTAAATCCTGCAGATAGAAAATGTCAACATGACTTTATTAAGTTCTACTATTTAAGCAGTTCTAACTATTCAATGCTGAAAAGCAAAATATATGGAATCAAAAAGCCTATGGAGTCAGATTATAAAACATGATTCTCTAGAAAGGTAGTAACTTTTCGATGAGTCCACATAGATAAAGGATGTAAATCCTTTACCTACTGTCAAAGGTTTTTTAAAAATGTCTCTATGTCCTCCCAGCGTTTGTGAAGAGAGGGTTTACCTTACATTAGTTCCAGGTAATAAACTATAGTTTTATGGATTAAAAAGTGCCTTGGGATCATTCTTAGCTTTCCCTTAATTAAGAATGAGGACTGGAGAGATGGTACAGGTGCTTGCCGTGCACACAACTGACTCAATCCCCAGTACCAAAAATTCTCGCCCAGCACTGAGCAGTTAGGTGTGATCCCTGAGTACAGCTGGGTGTGGTCCAGCCCTCACCCTGTACCCCACATCCCCCATCCCAAACCATGATTGAAATAGACGGATTACTTGTAGCTCATTTTATAAAACTCATGCAAACAATTCACAAATAAAATGTACACATCAAAGAATTTTAGATTTACACAGATTTTTAACTCTAATAAATCATTTCACATACTCTAAGCCCCAGACCTTGATTGTGTAGCCTAGAAACGTTAGTCAAAAAGAAAATGTTACAGAACTTCTCACAAAATTATAATACAAGTACATAGGAGGTGGTGATATCGGGGCGGGGGGGGGAAGGGGCCCACACCCAGCTCTGCTCAGGGATAACTCCTAGCTCTATGCTCAAGGATCATTCTGGCAGGGTGCTGGTAATCAAATCCAGGTCTGCTACATGCAAGGCAAGTGCCCTACCCACTGTACTATCTGGAAGGTTTAATGTGTCATTCTCATATTAAAATTGGAGAACTGCTATATACTATTTCTAAATACAAACAGCAACAAATGAATCACTTGGCACTGTTGTACACAGAATATCCCAGCTTGAGTTTCTAATCTTGTTATTCAAAATTGTAATTTTTTTCCAAGTGAATAGTTTATAAAAGAGCATTTTGTATTTCCAGGATTTTTTGACCTAGCATGTTTATTCTTAAAATCAACACCAACTTTCCTCAGCTTTTTAGGAAAGATTTCCCCATGGTCTTAAATCACTTGAATTATACAAAGCAAAACCCAATTATTTCTCTTCTGTTTATATTAGTCCCTCATGAGTGAAAACAAAGTTGTACACAGCGGTGGCTCCAAGCTGAAAATATGGTCTTCAAAATGTGGTCTTCAGTTTATTTCAGTCAGCATATTCATTTAACTGGTTCTTTTCACAAAGTAACATTTCAACCTCTTTGGAAGGGCAGGAAATAATGTGTGAAGTTTGGAATAAGGGTCACACTTCTCTGTGTTTTCCAGTTGGTGAGCAAGACCAAAGGGTGTGTTGTGAGAGAGGCAAAACATGGCGAGCATTCCTGATAGCTACTGCTGGTTAATATTCCCAAATACCCCCTACCACCATGTTTGTAACACAAGCAGTCAAGAATATGTGCGTACTTTCTTTTTCTCCTTGAAAATTAAAGCCAGCTTTCACAGTAATAATGTAAGACAGACAGCATTAAGACATTTTAAGAAGGGATAAAAAGTATCTGTGACAGCAGAGTGAAAATCAACCTTAAGAGTCCAGCCAAGAACAACAGGGTCAGCTAGAGTAACTGACTCAGAAGTAGCAATTCTTAGCATACAGTCTACCCCAATATTTTGAGTTGTCTACAAGTGCCAAAGATGCAATAGCATACCAGATTTGCCATGGAATATGTATGCCTTAATGGTGTTTAAAAATAAAGTAGGATGGAGAAAAATAAGTATCAAGTCATGAGGACTGAAAGAACAAATGTACAGAAAGTGAAGGAAATCCGGAGAAACCATTGAGACTTTGCTCTATGCCAGCCACTGAAAGAATCTTTTTGTGGGGTGGGGGTTATCCTCATTCCTAAAACATTAAAGATTAGAAATGTTTTAAATCTTTGAAATGATTTCCTCTTCCACCTTGAATAACAATTTCGGCTTTCCGTGGACAATCTTGGCTTATTCCTGCTCTGCCACTTAATACTGTGTATTCCCATTTGCTCATTCTGCCCAACTCTATTAGTTCCCCCAAAACATTACTTTGAGCACTCATTTTCTCCAAGAAAGACTGCAAGCATGAGAAATGTTTAATTTTGAGAGAAAAATCAGGTACTAATACAGAGGTAGGTTTTATGTCCCCAAACACTCAATACCTGACTCCAGTTTGGTTATCAGCAGTGCTGTCCGAGCCACATTGGAAAACCAGGTCATGGTGAGAAGGTCTTTGGGGAGGAAGTGGAAGTAAAGTCATCTGAGGGAAGAAGTCACTACTCCAGATTGGGGCTGAAGGTTGCTCTAAAAATACTGTAATTCTTCCAGCTAGCATCTCGATTGTTTTACTGCAAGAACCAAATACTCTGAAAAAAGTTTGAGTATTTCGACTTAGGAAATGCACCTCCAGGAGAGCAGGTTTTGGCTGGAGCAGGTCTTGATTTAACAGGTCAACCAGAGAATCAAGTTCGTAGAAACGTGCCTCTCTTTGAAGCCTAAGATAGTCTGAAAAGTCCCTGGGTAATAAAAGTTGATGAGTTCTCAAAAAATCTAAGATGAAGGTAAATAAAAAACCATCTCTGTCCACAAAAATCTGGCTCCCTTCCATCTTGAATTCTTCATCTCTGCCATCTAACATTCGTGACAATCTAGAGGCAGGAAATTGCTTGATGGTTGATAATCTTGTTGTGAATATCTTACCTCCCACATTCAGAGTAACAAGTTCCTGACTACTCATTCTTCTCTTGCTACCAACCAGAGGCTATAAACCATCAGCTACAGACTTCGGAATTTATAAATCAACCTGTAAATGTTGTGGTTATAAAGGATTAAGAAAGGGAGGGGAGGGGAAAATAAAGACAGGTAACTTCTGTAAAACAAACAGTATCCATAGCTGTGTTAGCAAACTGCAGTTGCTTGGAAACTTGCAGTATACAAAATGAGAAAGCAATAAATGAAAGCCGGAATGAGAACTGCCAATACATCTGTGTCAAATAGAGCCATTTGCTATATTCCATTAGAAAGTTCTCCATAAAAACCTGTTGTTTTAAAGTCTATACTAAAAAAAAAATACTTGGAGCAGAAAAACACTCCCCCTCCCTGGACTTCTTATCTACTGAGTCCTAATAGTAAAAATAAAGATTTTCCCCAAAAAAAAACGCTGTCATCATTTTTGATGCCCCCTTGAACAATTTAGTAACCGAACCATAAACTGTCAGTCGGGGACAAGCTAGCCACTACCTCAGCATTTGGCACTTCTCGTGGTTAGCATGATTGTTCTGTACTTTAAATTCAGTTGCCATTTTTCTTACCCCTGGTCCTGCGTGCATTGCTATCCTAAATTAAAAGACTAAGTTAAAGACATTCTGGGCCTGGGCTTTCAAAAGAATGCCCTGTGACAGCAGTAAGGTCAACTAGAGAGCATTAACATAAGGTCACCTTCACATTCATCTGTCTATGCAAGGTGAGAAATTTAGATTATTTTTTGTCTAAGGGAGATAAGACATCCTTTTCTCATGTGACATGTGAGCCAGTAGGACAGTGTAGTGTTTAGTAACTTTGTACCATATAATGATTGACAGATTATTATCAAATGAGTCTTTACTATTAAAAAAACTAAGTTCTGAGTAAATGAGTTTGGTTGAAGAGTTACCAGATTTGAGATAACACAATGCTGGCTTTCCCAATTGTCAGGTGACCCTTTAATTTTGTTTTTTGTTTGTTGTTTTAGGGACACACCTACCAGAGGTCAGCACTTACTCTTGGCTCTGCACTCAGGAATCACTCATGGCAGAGCTTAGGGGATCCTCTGGGGTACAGGGATTAAACCCAGGCTGAACAGGTACAAGGCGAGAACCCTATATGATGTACTATTTCTCTGGCACCAGGTTATCTTTCTTATTTTGGAAAAACAAAAACCTGTCCCTTTCCTTACAGTAATTTAACACTTCTGTACACCAAATTCCTTTGTTTACAAATTTATAAACACTTAAGGAGAAAAGACAAGTTAGAACATCTACTTGCTAAAAACAAACTTATCTCAAGAAAATGCCAGTTTTTACATGAACTTTGCATTGTAGTGAATAGGGAAATCAAGCCAGCTTACAAATGCAATCCTTATCTTTTTGGAAAGAATGTTCATTCTCCCAAAAGAAAGTTTCTTTATGAGGCCATACAGTACAGGATAAGGCCTTTTTTCCACATGGAATCAACCTCAGCAGGATCCCCGTACTGCCAGGAATTGATCCCTGTGTACAAAGCCAGAAATAGCCCCTGAGCACTGCCTGACCCCCCAACTGCCAAATTTTTCAAGTTGTTTTTTAAGAACAATTTGTATTAGTTCAAATGAACAGCCTACTAGCATACTACTTCATCAGGACGTTATCATCAAGTATCCTATATCCTGACACCTCCCTTTTAGGGGCTGAAGGGACCGAGCCATACTTGGCAGTGCAGCTCCTTGTTTGGTTTAAGGTCACTCCCTGAAATGGTGCTCAGGAGACTATGTGGAGCATGCCTTCACCTACGCAAAGCATGCCCTCTGTCCCCTCACCTCCCATTTTTATCTCTGAATAAGCAATCAGTTGGGGGGAGGGGGGAGAGGAGGTGTGGAGGTGTAATGTGCTTATTTCAGAAACACTACAGCGGAATGTTCAAGACTATACTGTTAAACTTTGATCATGCACAGGACATTATTTTTGAGAACATTTTTATAGGAAATAACCTGACTGGACTTGACAAAAACTGAACTACCACTCTGTTCTTAACAAAAAACAGAGAACCATTTAGACAGATTTTATAATAGTTTATATTTGCACACAAATTCTGCAACATTGTTCAGCACCACCAAACTAAAATTTCTGAACTGTCTACTGAAAATGGAAAACTCATTTGTCACCTGTTCCCAGTAAAAACCTGACTGTTGCACAAAATCAGCCGAGTTAGTCAGGCAGTAACTGAAGTCTGAAAGACAGTCTCTCCAAGTTGCAAATTCATCAAATACAGACCATTCTAGGAATGTGGTAGGCACAAAGAAAACGAGAAGGCTCAGCAGCACCAAAACCACAAGGAACTGATAGAAGCTCCAGGGAACCCTGATGATCAAAGTGCCAGTGTCTTGAGGCAAAGAAAGTTTATCCACATCCACTAGTTTTATGTCTTCCCACTGACTCGTATCAAAGTTCTTCATTACAGGGCTTGTAGGCAAATTAGAGGGAGGTAAAGGAGTTTCCTTGATTACTTTGATTTTCTCCCTAAACTCCTGCATCTGTTGCAGAAAAATGATGGGTTCTGAGACATCTTTGAAAGCTTCTGCAATGTTAAAGGCCATTCGCTGCTCCTGCAGGATGGTGTTGAGTTTGTTGATCTCTGGGTCATAGGCTTGCATAACTGCAAGTTTCATGGTCTCAAAGTCAGACAGGATTTCATTCTTCTTTTGATCCAGTGTGTGTTGTAAATTCTCAAAAAAGTCCTTCACTTTATCTGAATCTTTAGTTAGTAACTGGAGAGACTTCCTTTTGCTAGTTTCCAAAGTATCCAGACGAGAAAGAACATCTCCCCGACGCCAGGTCTCAAAGCTCTGGAAGAGGGACTCGAAGGCGTCCCTTTCCTGAGCATAGGCTTCCTCAATAGAACAGAACACATGCTTGGCATGTTCACCCCGAGTGGCACAGATCCCACAGATCAGCTGCATATCAGTTAGGCAGAAAATGTTAAGAGGCTGCCCCAAGTGTTCTTTGCACACTGGCATTTTGGGAGATATCTTGATCTTATTATACTTTTCCACAATACCCTTCAGGGAGTAATTAACCTGCAGGCTATTGACTCCCGTGGCTGAAGTTTCCTTCCGGCAAGTGGGGCACTTGAAAGGAGACACTCTCCACAAGGAATTCCGGACATTCCCCTCTAAGATCCCTTCTAAACATTTTCTGCAAAAGTTGTGTGAGCAAGGCAAAACTCGAGGATCATCAAACAGGCTGCAACAAATTGGGCACGTGAGATCTTCTTCTAACAGCTCCATTACATCCTGGCATAAAGAAAGAAAATATTTTACTCCAACGATCCCTCTCCATTAGAACAACATAATAATTACAAGAAGCTGTCTTCCTACATTAAAAATGATCTTTCACTAAAACAAGCAGGCAAACAAAGGAAGTTAGGTATTTCGGGAGGGAATGCACACCAAAGCAGATTAATCTCCTGGGACTAAAACTTGGTCCTTATTAATAGGATTCCCTGTACACAAGGCCTTTGTGTGTGCTTCCCAACAACAGTCTTTGGTTGAGACAGGGTTAGGACTAGGACAACTTCTAGTTGAGCCAGCAGGACGCAACTGATTGTTTTAAAACAGAGCTGACTACTAGCTGTCAGAAACAAAGCTACTCAGTGTCTGAACAGAATGAGCTTTTTAGTGTGAGCCTGCAATTTAAAATGGTATGCTATTTCAAAGAAAGAAGCGCAGAAATGCAAATCTAAGTATGGGCACTCATGCAGGCTTTTATTAAAAGATGTGGAGGATTTTTCTACAGTGAAGATTCTATGATTGAAGTCAGAGAAGTAAAAACCTAGATGAGTTGTCTTTCCCTAACAATGGCAGACTTTTAAAAACAAACAAAAAACCATCAGAGCAGGGGTTTGGAGTGCCCGTACGGTGGTTGGGCATTTGCTTTGCACGTGGTGACCAGGGTTCAATCCCTAGCATCCTGAGCACCGCCAGGAGTAATTCCTGAGTGCAGAGACAGGAGTAAACCCTAGGCATAGCTGGGTGTAACCCACACACAAACGAAAAAACCCTAAACAACAACAACCAAAACTCCCACCAACACAGTAGTTAAAAGAGTGGTGCTATCTCTAGAGTATTAGTCAAAATATTGGGAAGAAACCTCAGGCCAGGCAAGAGGTCAATACTAGTTTCATACTGATAGGCTTTTGATATAACATTTCAAAATGGGATATGCTTTCCAAGTCTGTTGATAATCACACTACAACAATAATGGGGAGGGGCCAGAGAGACGGTAGAGAGCAGGGCACTTGCCTTATACATACCCCCACATCCCCCAGTACCACCAGGATGATCTCTGAGCACAGAGCGAGGAGTACACCCTGAGCACTGCTGGGTGTAGTCAGACAAACAAAAAATAGGAGGCATCAAACTGTACAACTCATCACTATATTCTTCATCACCAAGTCCTATGAACATTTTGTATGGCAAAATCAGAAGTAAATAGCATTTCTGCTCCGTATCAGCAGGTAGCACACTAGCACTGTCCTCCCGTTCATCGATTTGCTTGAGCGGGCACCAGTAACATCTCCATTGTGAGACCTGATGTTACTGTTTTTGGCATATTGAATGTGCCATGAGGAGCTTGCCAGGCTTTGCCATGTGGGCGGGATACTCTCGGTAGCTTGCCGGGCTCTCCGAGAGGGACAGAAGAACCGAACCTGGGTTGACTCTGTGCAAAGCAAACACCCTACCCACGGTGCTATCACTCCAGCCCTTTGGTAAAAAAGTACTTTTATGACTAAGCTGCAAGCTCAACCAGCTGCTTTTTTAACGAACTTTTTTACTCAAATTGACAAACTTATTCAGATTTAGGCCTTTGCCAGACCATTTTCTTGAAAATGGACAAATGAGCCCATCACATTTAAGGAAAACAAATGACTACTTCTTGCCAATAACCAAAGTTGACTTTTTGGGTGAAAATTAAAATTCTGAAAACAGTATTTCCCACTATGAGCTTGACAGCTAAAAGAAAATTCCTTTTCTTATGAAGTAAGAGGTGATATAAACATATATGGGTTTTCTTCTTACAGAGGGAGATATGTCAGTATTTGAAAATTGGTATAATATGCGAAACCAGTTCAAATTATCATGTTATATATTATGCACGTTATAGCTCAAGGCCAGTATGTTAAAAAAAAAAAACCTCAGGTGACATACTGCAAATCATCTTTAAGAAACTAACAGCTACTGAGTTTTCATACAGTGTCTAAACAAGATGCAAATTAGAAAACGCTATAAAAATATGCCTCCCTTCATCAATTATACAACTGTGCAAAAGCTAGCTTTTTTGTTATTTCAACCAAAATAACTTAGAACAACAGATGTGATGCAGACATAGGTAAGACTTCCAGTTGTTTTGTATTATCACTTAAGAGAGAAGACCTGTATTTAAAACTGCCAGCTTTCTCAGTTTTTAAATTATTTTTCTAAATTTAACATTTATTAGGTTTAGCATTATTTTTATTTTTTTATTTTCGGGTCACACCCGGCAATGCACAGGGATTACTCCTGGCTCTGCACTCAGGAGTCACTCCTGGCGGTGCTCAAGGGACCATATGGGATGCTGGGAATCGAACCAGGGGCGGCCGTGTGCAAGGCAAACACACTACCCACTGTGCTATCGCTCCAGCCCCTTTAGCATTAGTTTAAATAGATGCCTAAAAAGTTTTTGTTTTAATTTCTTATGCAGTAAATATCTATACACAAAAGCTCCTATAGAAAGCATTAAGTGGGTCTGAGACAAATATTTTAAGTCTCTGATCTAAAGAATACTATTTCTCAATTCAAGCTTATTATTATTGGGGCGGCAAGCACCATACCTGATGGTGCTCAAGGCTACCCTGGCTTTGCACTCAGAGATCACTCCCGAGGGGGTGGGGAGGTGGGGGAAGGGACTGCATGTAGTGCCCAGGATCAAACCCAGATTGGCCACTTGCAAGGCAAATGCCCTACCCCAGTGTATTACCTCTCTGGCCCCAAGCGTATTTTTAAACGTTAATTTTAAAACTCCCAACCCTAATATTAATATTTCTTAATTATTTCTCAATAATTATTATGAGAAATACATGTGTAATAAAAACAAGTATATGTAAAATTAAAGCAGAGATCACTATGTCAGATTTAGTGGTTTATGGTAAAGGTATATGAGTTGACTTTTCAGAATAAAACCATTTGTCGCATGAGAAATCAATTTTTGGGGGCCGGAGCAATAATACAGTGGGTCTGCCTTGCTTGCAGCCGACCTGGGTCCAATCCCTGGCATTCCATATGGTCCCCTGAGCACCACCAGTTCCTGAGTGCAGAGCCAGGAATAACCTGAGCATTGTCGGGTGTGACCCAAAATTTGGAGGGGTGGGGGGGAATCAATCTTTAAAAAGCACTAGAAGAGAATAGCAATTGACTAGTGTGCTCTGGCTTACTGAGCAGCTGTAAAACATCTGATATTTTAAAGCAGAGAAGGTAACCTTAATGATACCTCTAATCCTAGTTCCATACTTTAATCATCTCCACTATTCTCTGTCATTTTTTACCTAATCATTCTATGCTACCGCTAGATTTTGGAGGAGGTAGTATCAAGAGTGAAGTAGGACAGTACACAGTAACATAAATCTAATTTACTCATCTTTACAAGATTAGTTTTCCAGTTAATACTAAACAAGCATAGTAAATAAGATGGAAAATGGAGCATACTAGGTAGCTGGGATGAGGACGGGAAAATACCCCAGGCAAAAAGCAACTCGGAAAACTTTGAGAAGAGTACTGCTTCAAGGTGAAGGATTCTGCAGCAATCAAGTATGATTCAAAAGAGAGGGCCAGTGTTGTATGTAGTACAGCAGGTACGGTGTTTGCCTAGCATGCAGCTGACCCAGGTTTGAGGACCTCACATTGGTCCTCTGGGCCTACCAGAAGGGATTCCCGAGTGCAGAGCCAGGAGGAAGGCTTGAACACTGCCGGCTGTGGCCACCAAACAAAAGTAAAATAGGAAGTCCACCCCACCCCCACCCCCAATCATCCCAAAGCCATAATTAACTTACAGCTCTTGCAATGAACCACAGGAGGTGTCAGAGATCTAGGACAGTGGGGAAGGCACACAGCTGACAGGGGTTTGATTCTCAGCTTTGTCTACGGTCCCAATTCATGGCAGGCAGGAGTAAGCCTTGAATACAGCCAGGTGTGCCAAAAAAAACAAAAAGCAGCTCAGGAAAAATTACGACTTGGAGAATCACAAATTGCATCAGGTCAGAGAGACGGTTTAAGGGCTGGAGAACATGCTTCGCCTATAGGAGCCCCAGATTCAATCACCAGAACCAACTGGGTCCCTGAGCAATGCTTAGTAACACATGGACTCCACACAAAGAAAAAGAAAAAAAAAATGCATCAACATTATAATTTGTTGTTCCTTTATGTGTGATGTATGTGTAGGGTTGAATTGGCTCTTTTTTCCAAGTTACACCCAACACTGTTCGGACTATTTGCAGTACTAGGGACTGAACTTGGGCCTCCCTGCATGCAAAGTATATGCTCAGCATGCTGAGTTGTCTCTCTGGTCCCTACAGCTTTATTTTAGAGCAATTTTTCAATTGCTTTAAATTTTTCAACTTCAACGTCTTATTCAGGGAAAAAAATACAAAAGTGCCCTTCAATCCTACCTTTTTTGTTGTTGTTTTGGGGTCATGCCCAGCAATGCTCAGGGGTTACTCTTGGCTTTATACTCTGGAGTTACTCCTGGCAGTGCTCAGGGGGCCATGTGGGATGCCGGGGATCAAACCCAAGCCAGCCACAAAGAGGGTAAGCACCCTACCTGCTGTACTTACTGCTCCAAACTTTCAATCCTACCTTGAGTGGGTATATAGCAATGGGAAAACAATTCTTACAAAAGAGTCACAAAATATAAGTAGAAGCTAGTTTATATACTGCCTACTCTAATTATATATATTTTTTAATACAATAAATTTGGGAGGGGGGCACATCCAGCATTGCTCAGGGGACCGACAGTCCCTAAAGTTTCAGTTTTAAATCAACAACCCAAAATGACTATGTAAAAAGTGCTCATTCTTTTTTTTTTTGCAGTGCGCAGAATTGAACCCAGGACCTCACACATGCAAGGCAAGTGCTCTACCATGAAGCTACATATCAACCCTTAAAATCTTTTGTTGTTGTTGTTGGGCCAACACTGTGGTACTCAAGGGTCACCCACAAACTCTCCAGTATTGCTTGGGGGACCTTGTGGTACAAAGGATCAA